AAATTTTATCGAGATCGGTTCAGATTTGGATATAGCTCCCATATATATCTTTATCCGATTTCAAATTAATTGTGCACCAAATGGGCAACACAAGTCCGAATTTAAAAGATACAAATGCTTCGGCATATTTAGTCCTTTGAACTTTAAATTATAATTATAATCATGGCGTGTATGATTGAATTCTCCCATAAAAACTTTTAATTGTTATGTGGAGCTCAATTAAATTAGCAAACTGGTGTAGAGTATCATAAGATCGTCCCCGCTCGACTTTAGGACTTTCTTTACTGGTTAACTTGTTTTCACTCCGATATATTTATCAGTATTATATGGAGCTTGGAAATGGGACATTTTAACATTTCCTAAAAATTATCACATATCTCATATAAAGTGAAGGAAGTTTCCAATTTCCATTAGTACAATACGACCTATTATATTTCCTATTCTTTTGACAGATAGGACTCAGTTATCTGCCACAAGAATACTATTTTCGATGATTAGGATCATATTAAAAAAATTTAAAGCAGCGTTTCATTGGCCACTCTTGGCCCCCCACAAACAACTGAATTACCACCAGGGCAATGCTGCAATACAATGCATCTAAATTAATTACCCCATAGCCAAATTGCAATACATTCCGTTAAGAATAGTTATTAAAGTGCATTAGATTTAATTAAAGTGGCTAAAAGAATTTCAAACATGCAATTTTGTTTTGTTTTTTCATTTTTTTTTATTTTTCGTATTTTTTTCTCTTTGTTTTGGATTCACTGCGAATAACCATAAAATTGTAATTAGTAATCTCTTCTGCTTTTTTTGTTTTGTTTTTTTTTTTTTTTTTTTTTTTTTTTTGAGAAAATGCAACCATAATCCGTTTATGGTCAGTTGAAAATCTAAATCTTTACCACTAATGACTCCGGTGCAAGATGGTGGCCACTCTCGCTGGCAATGCTTTGACCAATCCCGGAATCCATTAGTTTAGATGAAGATAGAATTTATTTATTACACCATTCCAAGTTGCAGATCCATAATTTTATGGTGATTTAATACTAAGTGTAACGATTTCATTCTCTTCGCAATTTGATAACGTCGCAATTATGGCAGAGGTAGCACTTTAAAGTGTTTGGCACGTGATTTGCCGTTAGAATGTCGACGACGAATGACGGAAATTGTAGAAGGAGAAGAAGAAGAAGAAGCGAACGGTAGCCGTCGCAGTGTCCAGTTGGTGGCTGCGTGTATGGCTAATGAGTATATTTCAAAAGAACCACACCATTGTTTTATTAATAACATCTATATTAGATTATTGTGAAATAATTATTGTTATCGAGATATTAATAAACAATTACAATGAAAGAGTCTTGCGAATGCACCAGGAAATCAGCACCAGGAAGATCGTGTAATAAATCTTTGGAATGTAACATTTTATTTTAATATACAATTTTTTTCTTTTTTGGGTGATTCAAGTTAAGTGATGACGTCCTCCAATATTTTAGCTTCATGCAAGGGTAGTGCAAGATTTAAAGTTCTTACGTCGTACTGTGTCACTAATTTATCAAGGGAGTATTTGACATTAAGTTCTGATTAAAACATGTTTTTATACCCTCCACCATAGAATGGAGGGTACATTAAGTCATTCCGTTTGTAATATCTCAAAACATAGTTTACGGGAATTGTTTCATATTTAGTATTTGATGTCCCTAATGGGTACTAAACTTTATCTCCCCATATAACGGTTGAAGTTCCTTATAGGCACTACAATAACAATAAATTATCCATGCAGGTTCTGGTCTTCGTATAGATTTTATCGTATGATTTTATCGAATTGTTTCAAATTTCGTATTTGAATATTGTAGTGTCCCATGACAAAAATGGTTATGCAGGTCCACGTCTTCGTATAGACCCAAATATTCGATATTTTTAAGATCTTAACAGAATTTTTAATGGATTTTATTTTAAATTTTATTATTTTTATACCCTGCAACACTATGTGTTGGGGGTATTATAAGTTTGATTGGGCCAAAAATTATGTAAAACCTCGAAATATTGGTTTCCCATATAGGAGAGTATATATGGATCTTCCTGTCTCGCCGAGTTGAGTCGATCTAGCTGTCCGTCCGTCTGACCATGCTAATTTGTAATCACTCTACAGGTCGCAATTATGGCCCGATCTGCACGAATTTTAGAATGGAGATGGGGCTAGAACCAGAATAGAACCCTATTGCTTTTGGAGATGATCGCATAATATTTAGGGATTGAAATGGACCAAAAACTGAAAAAATTCCTGACTTTTCAATTGCTTTACAATTATAGACCAATCGCAATTATAGACTAATCGAAGCGAAAGTTAGCATGAGGCTAGAGCTTTGGGCAGGGCAGAAGCCCTCCAATTTTGATGGTCATCGGGTAATATTTAGTGGTTGAAATAGACCATAACATTTGTGATAAATAAAAGTCAAATATTCCATTAAACAGCGAATATTTTTAAAGTCGGCGAAATCACAAAAAGATAAAGAGGTCAATTCTGACAGTTACCTAGATGCCGATAGTAAAAATATCGGATATATATAGCGAAATATGTACAATGTACATATACAAAAGAAGGAGATGTTCGATAGAATGCTTATATCTCCAGAATGACTGGAGCGATTTTTACCAATTTTGTCAATTTAGAATGCCCTTTTGGCATAAAAGTATAAAATCTAAAAAAATCTCATAAAAAGACGCCAATATTGATGTTCATATAGATTTTGTAGTATTTTGTGACATTTTTTTATTTTTTCATATTTTCTATCGCATGCAATTTTTATACCCTACAACACTATATGTTGGGGGTATTATAAGTTTGATTGGGCCAGAATTTATGTAACACCTCGAAATATTGGTTTCCCACATAGGAAAATATATATGGATCTTCCTAGCTCGCCGAGCCGAGTCGATCTAGCTATATATGTCCGTCCGTCCGTCTGTCCGTCTGTCAATGTTAATTTGTAATCACGCTACAGGTCACAATTATGGCCCGATCATAACGAAATTTGGCACTAAGGTGGAGTTAGGGTCAGAATAGAAGACTATTTCATTTGGAGATGATCGCCAAATTTTTAGGGGTTGAAATGGACCAAATACTGAAGAAATGTCGGATTTTGCAGTAGCTATACAATTATAGACCAATCGACGGAAATTAGCATGTAGCTAGAGTTTAGGGCGGGAAAGAAGCCTACCAATTTGGGTGGTCATCGGATAATATTTAGCGGGTAATAGGCCATATCTTTTGTGTTGAAAAAATTCAAAATTTTTCATTAAACCGCGAATATTTTTAATCCCGGCGAAATCACAAAGCCATCACAAGGTTACTTCTGACCTTCACATTGATGTTAACATCCAACAAATCTGATACATATCAAAATATGTGCGATATATATGTCTATCAAAGAATATATGCTTGAAAGATCTCTTATATGTCGAGAACGGCTGAACTGATTTCGACAGTTTTCATTAATTCAGAATGGCCTCTTGGCAGGAAAGAAAAAACGTCTAAAAAAATCGCATAACAAATATCTCTATTTTTTCAATTTTGTCATATTTTTGGCATATTTTCATTTTGAATTAAACATTTGGTAATATTTCTACAGCTAACAAAACTAAGTAGTTAGGATAGCAGGATATCACATATAGAGATCGCATTTATGACCCGATCCTTACTAATTTTTGGGGATAAGATGAGGGTCAGAATAGAAGCCTACTCTTTTTGAGATGATCGCCATATATTTAGACTGCAAAATTGTCAGCTGGTCGTAATTATCGCCCGATCCTCACGCACATTTGAATGGGGGTTACCGGACATTGCAAAAGCCAAGCAGTTTTGGATGGCCATCCAAAAATATTCAAAGTGTGAAATAGTTTGCCAACTTTTGTAGACACAATAAGAAAATGTCCATTCCAGTGACTTTTTGGAGAATTCACAAATACAGAAAAGACGCACTTCTGACTATTTTGGTAACGCTGACTTCATTGAAGAATATAGTCAAATGTCTGTATCTCATATAGATGTATTTCAGTCAAAAACCATTAATAAATGTTAATCTCCTGCCACTTTTGAGAGATTATAGATCTTTGGGAAATATATTATAGGTCTTTGGGATATATACCAATAAATTGGAAATGAGCAAATTAGTTTAAGTTGCTATTATTGGAAAATTAGAGAACGGAACCTGATGGTTTTCTTTTATTATTTGTCACAATATCTTGTGGAATTCTTTCGAGTATCTCGCCTACATTAACTGTATCGTTTATTATAGTGTTGTAGGGTATTCAACGGTCGGCCCCGCTCGACTGTAGCATTTGCTTACTTGTTTTTATTTCAAATACGTACAATCACAAAAAAAAATTGAATTTCTCTGCTTACCCATGGTATTGTACCATAATTTCGTGGTAGGGTATAAAAACCATTAAAATTATAGAAATAATAGAAATAATTATAGAAATAATAGAAATAATAAAAACTCAAGACAAACCATTAAAAATGTTTATTCAAATTTTTATTTAAAGTGTTTGATTGTAACTCCTTTAGTGGAAACAAAAGACTTAAGACACAAGCACACAAAACCAATCATTTTTAAGTTTTTTTTTTATAAAAACCCTCAACATTAGCAACACTTTATTTACATTACTCTTTCTCTCTCTCTCTCTCTCTCTCTCTGGGGAATGAAATATTGCAAAATCGTACAAATTCTCCAACTCTCTTGGCCATTTAGGCCAAGTCAGCCATAAAAACTCACCACACCTGAAAAAATAAAGGTGCTCATAATAGCAACGCACTCTAAACTAAAACAGCAACATTAGCTGTGCAATTAAAACAAGTTTTCAATGAGAAAATCAGAGACTCTCTCGCTCTCACTCAAACCGGCTAATTTACCAAAAGAGCCAAGATAGTCACCACTGCGACGACGACGACGACGATCAACAAATCCATCAAACTGTTGCCACATTTGCTGGCCAATTTTAAAATTCAGTTGGCGTGTAACTGCTTTAGGATAAAGACGTGTTCTTGTGTTCTTCTGTTTAGGGAGGTTCGATCGAAAGAGAACACAGAAAAAAAACAAAACTAGCAACAACAAATATACAAACAAATACAAACGGTAGACGTAACATATCAACGGAAAATAAACGGGTAGCAACAACAACAACAAGTAATAAGAAAACAAAAAATATACAAAAACGTAAAAAAAGTAAATAAATAAATGTACGTCAAAAGAGAAGAGGGGTGAGGCAATACAGAGAAACGAAATACCAATTTTTGTAAAGTGAAGAATAAGATATTTGTTTTTTTTTTCTAAAAAAATAAAATAATAATTAAAAAATCAATAACAACAAAAAGGAAATTATATAGGAAGTAACAAAAAAATTGTGTTCATTGTGTCTTTTGTTTCCCACCAAGAGTGGCCGGCCGTGACAAATTAAAACCCAGCCTCGGGAGAAGAAAAAATCAACTTCACAAAAAAGCTTTATGAGTTTCTGTGGCCAAATTTAAACCCCTCCAACAAAAAAAAAAAGAGTGGAAAAAATTCAAAGATTTTTGTGTTAATTATTTTTTGTGTGCCTCGCTGAGTGTGTTTTTTTTATTTGGTGCTTAAAAATTGTGTTTTTGTTTCTTTCTTTCTTTCTTTTTCCGAAATCTAGTTCAAATATGAGTAATAAAAATTTTGGGAAATTTCTCTTACACCTTTCCATAATTGGATTAAGCCTCCTCCATGGATTATCCGAAGCAAAAGGTAAATATTTATTCCCATTTTATTTTTTTTGTAATTTCTATTTGTGTTTGGATATCTTCGATGAAATCTATGTCAATCTTGTTTTGCACAGCATCTAAATAATTTATCACCATTTAGCGCTTTGCTGACAAGTTTTGCTCTCATTTTTTGTGCAAGCTGTCTGTTTTTTTTTTCCAATTTTTGTTGTTGTATTTCTGGTTGTCGTGGTGTTTCCGATTGCCGATCTTTGCTTTGAGCTGCGCTGAGCTGCTGTTCGATGTGCCCGATTCAATGAATTATGATGTCATTCGCCAAGCAACGTAACGCAACCTTGTTTTAAAGCTTTGTATTACTCCGATGTTGGAAAAAATAAAAAACAACAACAACAAATGTTGAAGTTGTTTGGTACGTCGCTCATTGAATGGAGTACTCTACAGATGATCAGCGATTTATTGAAATTGCTGATAATGACTGTGTTGTTGATTAGAAAAAATAATTATAATAATTAAACTGGCTTTGTTTTTTCAATTTATCTTGAGAAAAATTGCAAATAATCACAAAAGCATGAAAATCATTTATGAGTATTTATTTATGTTCTCCAAATGAGACTACAACCAGAATTCAATATAATTAACAAAGTTTTCATATAATAATAACCAGTAAGGAAAGCTCAAAAGTCGGGCGGGGCCGCCTATATGATATCCTGCACCACTATGCATATTTAGTAGAACTCTCGTAAAAGAAAGGTTTATATTGCAATTTCTGAGCTCTATGACATATCTGGTACAAAATATCATTATTGTAGAGTGCATATTCCGAAAGTTGGAGATTTAAAACACAAATCGTATGAAACATATAAATGGTTGCATTTCGAAAATTCACTCCATTTGGGCTAATATTAGCTATTTGGTGCACAATAAACAAGAAATCGAATAATGATAAATATGGAGGCTATATCCAAATCTGAGCCGATCTTCATAAAATTGAAAACAGCTATTTCTTGGCTGCATCTGATATCTGGTACCAAATATTTTTCTTGTATCGTGCACCAAATTTGAAGTACTTATTTCTATACTTAATTCGGTCTGAAGTGCCAAAATTCACAACATTTGGACTGAAATCAGCCATTTGGTGCACAAGAAACATAAAATTGGATAAAGATATATATGGGAGCTATATCCAAATCGGAACCGATCTTAATAAAATTTGAATCATGAATTGCTAGGCTGTATCTGTTATCTGGTGCTAAATATCAGTATCGTGGAGGGCATATTACGAATGTGAGGGACTTAAACACCAAATCGGATGGAACATATGGGAGCTATAGCTATATCTGAACCGATTTTCACCAAATTTGAAGCATATGCTTATAGGCTGAATTCGGTCAGATGTAGCAAAATTCACACCATTTGGACTGATATTAACCTTTTGGTGCGGAAAAAACCTAAAACCGGATGAAGATATATATGGGAGCTATATCTAAATTTTGACCGATTTTCACCAATTTCAGTAGGGTTCGTCCTTGAGCCAAACAAATGTTATTTAGAAAATTTCATCTGAATCGAATACTAAATGCGACCTGCATTTTATATTAAAACAAGTAAGCAAAGGCTATAGAGGTGCGGGCCGACCATGTGATACCCTACAACACTACAATATGTTAGAAGCCCCTCATGTCCAAATTGTCCATTTTGGAAGATTTCGCTTTTGAAATTATGTCACGGAGCAATGCCCAGATATTACCCTTAGCATTTTGACCAGGGACAAAATGCTAGAATACTTCCCTGTCCTAAACTTTCTTCTCGGGCGTGTCGATTGGCTTCAATTATGTGATCAGGAAATTTTTTCTGTTTTTGGTCCATCTGAACCCCTAAAAATGTTGCGATCATCTCCAAAAGCAAGAGGTCCCTCTGTGTCTCAAAATTTAGACTCATCTACGATATTTTGCACACCCGCTGTCCTAAACTCTAACTTCATACGAGATTTCGTGTCCTTTTTCAGTTTTTGGTTCATTACAACCCCTAAATATTATGCGATCATCTCCAAAAGAAGGCCCTAGCCCCGCCTCCATTTTAAATTTCGTGAAGATCTGGCCATAATTGCGACCTGTAGAGTGATTACAAATTAACATAGACAGACGAACGGACTGGCATACGACTCACCTCGGCAAGATAGAAAGCTCCATATATACTTTCCTACGTGAGAAACTATTATTTCGAGGTGTTACATAATTGTTGGCCAAATCAAAGTTATAGCCTATGTTCGATTATTTCAATATATTTTGTCTTGCGATATGATTATTCAAATAGTTGACCCTATGGAGTAGGTTTCAAATGAATTAATATGATATAAATATTGCGACGTACCAGCTATGGGCTATATCGACTTCTTCCCTCACATGACATATGTGAAAATTTTAAGAACATTAAAATGTGCGTGAAGTACCAGATATAGTTGACTGAAGTTTTCAATTTTCACACTTCAACTTATATAGAAAAAAATATTGGTATAAGTAAAATTACAAGAAAATCAAACGTTTATATCTAATTTTGGGCGAAATCATAAATTCCGATAAATTTCACATTCATATTAGGTTTCTGGTTGAGAGAAATATTTAAGCATAGCAAGTTATGACAGACAAAAGTATTGAAAAATGTGACCCTTTGTGTGTGCGGTACCAGAAGATATGGTACGAACTATACAATCTTTTGAGATATACTAAGTCTGAATGAAATCAGATGTTAGTTTCGCATTTTAAGAGCTTCATGGATATTCAAAATTGTGAGCCTTTGTGGTGGAGACCAGAAGGAGTGGACCGATATATCCCATCATCAAACTGATCTTGTATTAGTAGAAATAATGGGATGTGTGAAATATAAAGAGAACCTAATGCTTATTTTGGATTTTATAAACTTTTTGGTTATTCAAAACTTTGACCCTTTGGGGAGGTACCAGAAGGAATGGTCTGTTTTCTACCGTCTTTAAATCAGAACCTGTGTTGATATTTCTATCATTCAAGGCTACCAAGTCTAAATGGAATCGGATGTTAATTTTGCTTTTTTGGGGGGAGGTTGCCTGGTACCAGAAGGAGTCGACCGATATATTCCATTTTTGCATCTGACCTAGAACTGACGCAAATATTAAGATTTGGAGTAGAATCGGTCACTGTCAAAACGTGCCTCGTCAAAATAACGGTTTTAGACCCTAGGTCTCTTTAGACAAAATCAATTTCAGGACATTTGGAGTCGATGTAGCGATGGCCGTCCGTCCGTCGGTCTGTATGTCCGTCTGCCTGTCTGGCTTCTGAGTGGTCCACATTTGGTACATCGTAATATTATTATCAAACTTAGATCGAGTTCGGAGATGGGCAATATCGGTCCACTCCTTAAAGAAAATATTTTATTGCGCATAAAGAGAATGGATTATCCGACATTGTTCCAAATTGCAAATACCAATATTCATCAGTGCTAGGTCAGGTGGGAAAATGAAAAATATCAGTCCACTCCATTAATTATTCAATGGGTCAAAATTTTGAATAATTATGACGCTTATAAAATTTGATATAAGAGTCCGATTGTCTTCAAATTGAACAATCACAATATGTTTATTAACCCAAGGTCTGGTGTGAAGATGAAATTTATCAGTCCTTTTTTTATCAGATCCTTTTGGTACTTTCCTCACAAATGGTCAAAATGCTAAATATCCATGAAGCTCATAAAATGCAAAATTAACATCCGATTTCATTCAGACTTGGGAAATCTCAATATTACCATTAACACAAGATCACTTGTAAAGATGGTAGAGAACGGAACATTTCTTCTAGTACCTCCCCCAATAAGGTTTCAACGATTTTGAAAAAACAAAACACTCAAAGAAAGCGAAATAAGTATCCGGTTCTCTTCATATTTCACACATCCCATTATTTCTACTAACACAAGAAATACTGTGAAGAGGGGCTATATTGGTCCAATTCTTTTGGTACCACCTACACAAAGGGTCAACTTTTTGAATTTTCATAAAGCTCGTAAAACGCAAAATTAATATCCGATTCCATCTAAACTTGGCATTTCATTGGCATAATTTGTAAAGATGGTGGAGATCGGACAATTCCTTCCGGTTATGGAATATAGGTTGAGGATATACATACCTCGACCATACCGACAATTATGTTCGTACATCATTTCAAAACCAATTATCCTGGACACAAGTCTATTTTAATGCTATTATGCCAATTTTCCCATGCCTACGTCTGGTAATACAAGCTGCATTTTCATTTCAAAACCCCAACATTGACTAAGAATGCTGATTACGAATATATATACTTTATATATTCTCTTTTCTATGGAGGAGGTTATAACAATCCACCACCACCATTCCACCATTCTATGAAGGGTATATTAGCTTTTTCATTCCGTTTGTAACTCCCCAAAATAGTAATAATAGACCCTACAAAGTATATATATTCTGGATCAGCGTAAAATTCTAAGACGATATAGCGATGTCCGTCTGTCTATCTGTTCGCCTGTCTGTTGTAATCACGCTATCCTTCGAACGAATTGAGATAGAAGGCTAAAATGCATGCATAGTTTACTCGTAGGCAGGTTAAGTTCGAAAAATGGTCCATGTCGGTCCACCTTTTCGTATAGCACCCGTATAACGGTACCTCCCGATATTCAATATTTTTATGATTTCAGCAACATTATTCACCGGAATCGTTTCAAATTTCATATTTAAAGTTCGTAATGGATACTACAGTCTGTATGCAGGTCCACGCCTTCGTATAGCCCTCATGTAATGGTATCTCCCGATACTTAGTATTTTGATGATTTCAGCAACGTTATTCAACGGAATCGTTTCTTATTGAATGATCTTAGAAGGTACTGCAAACTACGACAAACAGGTAAAAAAGCTATAAGTTCGACCGGGCCGAACTTTGAATACCCTCCATCATTTGGTACAAATTTGGCATTTTTCAAAAAAAATTGAAATCCATTAAAAATTCTGTTAAAATCTTAAAAATA